ATTTGAGTAGGACTAAAACTGAAAAATCTCGAAAATGGAATGTACTACAGAGATCAACCAAGCGTCCCTATTTTGTAACAAATTGGAGGAATAATTATTAATCTTAACTTTTATGAAATATAGGGTGTTCAAAAAGTTTAAAATTAAAATTGTTTCCTTAACCCTTGAATCTACGCCAATGGATTATCGTAATTTATCAAAACACACGTTTTTAAGTTAAAATCTTTACCGTAAGGAAAGATATTTAGAAAATGATGTATTTATTAAATTTACTTTATCACCCTGTCTAATGAAAACTGGGACGTTTACAAGAAAATTATATTTAGCTTTTCTTAATAATTAGTTAAGATCTACAAATTCCATAATTTACAGTACTTTATTCTGAAACACCCTGTATATAATATATTATAATGGTTTTATTTTTTATGGGAAATCCCCTATTTATGAATTACTAGTAGGTAGTGATTTTGGTTTTATTTTTATTTTAACTTGTTTTTATATTGTTGTTGTTTTATATACATATATTAGGTATAATTGTTTTATTTTTATGGGAAAGCCCCTTAGAATATAAATTCTAAGGAAAGCCCCTATTTATGAATTACTAAATTTGCTTTTATTTTTATTTTAACTCGTTTGAAATTATAATTTTATTTAATTTCATCAATTAAAATTTGGAATAAATTTTGAAAATATAATCTTTTATTAAAAGGAAAGTGAAATAAACTGTGACGAATGTAGGTGTGAATTGGTATTATATGTTTACATGCCCGGGAAACGTGACTTTAGGCAGAACTTACTATTTACTTACCCATTCTGGCAACCCTGCATCATAACATTCTGTATTCTGTGCATAACATAACCTCGTTTGCTCATGCTCATTTGTTGTCAATTTTGAGATATAACTTTAATATTTTTCTTTTTAAGTATTTGACTAATAAATATAATCATACTATTAAGACTTTTATTTTTAGGTACCTTAGTGGAAGAACCGATTCACTGCTATAATGGGATCATTGTTTTGGGTACCAGATAAGTCTCATTGGAGTTGGAGCCTTTGATCATAGAAAAACTAAAACCTTTGATTGTTGGAATTTCCACACTGGAACCTGGAACCCTTGTTCTGTTAAAAACTTGGTTTTCTTGTTTATCTCACGGTTTTGACTCGTAAGTATCCCTAATTTTCAACTATAATTTTTTTGTCACTTTTTTCTGTCTTGTTTTTTTTTTTTAGTATCTTGTATCCATGGTAATGGCATTTGTTTTTTGTAATTCAGGCGTAATTGTCTTTGCAAGTGATTTTGTCTAACTGGCCTGTCTTGCCGGTGAAATTGGTTTTATAGAACTTCCATTTCACAGCCAACTAGATCAAAATTTTGGAATATTGTTCTAGAAATATACGAGGTGGATCAAAATCTTCTTTAAAATTTTGCTTTTTTGCACTGATTTCATTGCATGTCTGTTAAAGGGCTTTATTTTTAAAGTATTTTAGTATTTTTCCTTCTTTGCAAAGTTCACTATTAAGGTTATTATTTATAAATGAAAGTTAACAATTTGCGTTACCAAAAATGCTTTTAAATTGATTAAAATCAATTGTAATTATGTAATTTTTTATGTCAAATCATATTTATTGTTTAATTAATGATTTCATTAAGATTAAAGATAGATAAAAGTGTTTTATTTCATACATTTCCTTAATTTAGTTTTGAGGTTATATTCCCATCAATTATAACTTCATTTAGTTTATTTAATTTTAGCAATGGTGTATTATTTATCATGTCAGTTTTATGTCTGGCTTATTAACTTAATATTTTATACACAATTTTGGTTATTATATTTGTCTTCTTCAAGAATTTTATGAGTGTAATCTCTTATGGGTGATCGGATGCTATTTTTGATTTAAAGAATTCTTTGTTATTTTTATTTCTCCAAATTTAATTGTTTAAATACATTGTGTGTTAGTATACGGTTGGTTCTGTGCTTATTTCCTATTTTAAATTTTATTACAAATATAAATAATATAATTTCACTGTCTCAAATTGGGGTTCTAACTAAAGTTTTATATTCATTATTTTTAAGCTTGAAGTATTGTTTGCCACAATAAATAACATTACAATATTCATTCACTGTTTTCTGGATATTGGGTCCTACGATTGAACGTTTGCATTATTTGTAACATACATGTTAGACTGAGTTTTAACAGCAACGAGGCAAATTCGTATTATGATGGAAAGTTTTTTATGACACATTACGGTCATTTTCCGCATGTTATGTTCTAATTTCACATATAGCCTGAACAGCCTCAAATAACATGCCTTTAAGTTCTCAACGTCCCTTTGTGTTTTTTTAAACATTCGATTTTAAATTGAATTAATTTACATGTAGTACAAAAATTAGAAAATGGAATACGGAGGTAGGTATAACTTTATTATTATTTTATGGTAATAATTTATGAGGTAGGTACTTTATTATATTATAATTTTCTATAAAGAAGGTATATAAAGAGAGCCAATTAATCCTATTTCTTACTATACTATGGACTTGCAAAAGAATAAATCCAGTTTATAATTGCAAGAATGATGCCCCATTTTAATACTCAAAGGCCAAGGATTACATCTATTCCAATTGAATTGAAGGTCTAATACCTATATTTCTATAATCGGAATTCTTGGTATATTTGAATCTTTTATTTGTTATTTATTTGTAAACTCTAGCCAAAGGTATGCATTCTTTAATATATTTCTTTTCACCGTGAGAATAATTTTGCCCACGCACAAATACTTCCATTCGTAACGGCCAGCTTAACATCTGTTATTGATTCCCTCAATCATACCGATATGACAAGTACTGTTAAAATAAATGTAAACGTTCAATCATAGGACCCGATATTCTGTGTTCAGTGAGTATTAACTATAGCCTATATAACAATATTGTGGTTAAAAGGCTTGATAGTCATTAGATTACAAACTTAATTAAATGCATTCATAATTGCTCATTCTTACCTCTACTCTCTTAGATTTCGTACTCATTTTTCTTCTTTTTAGTTAAGTTTGCAATACTCACCTATTTTTCCTTTTTCAAATCTTTAATTTTGCAATACTGTCATGCTGCAATATGGATCCATTTTAGTGATTTAGGTATACATACTGTCAACTATTTAATTTTAATCCCAAATGATCAAACTCTTATATTGTTCCTATTATACTTTAGGATTATTGTATTACATGCCTGAAGATGGTCCTGTGAGGCCGAAACTAGTCGCTTCTGTATATATTTATAATAAAATTGATTTTGAGGTTTTATTCTTTAATTGAAAAAATTAAACCTTCAGTGATATGAGACGGTATACATTTTAAAAATAGTAAAATTAGCGAAATGTTTGGACAATGTGTGTTTTCCTTCCCCCTTAATTGTAGTCGCTTCCTCAATTCCTCTATAGATGTTTAGAACACAACCATCACCTACAAACTGGCTTCACGCTTCCTCTAGTAGTAATTGCTCGAAGTATTTAGTACATAAAATATTATTCAAAATATTTTAATCCAAATAAAAAGTTTTCTATTTACTGACTTCGAAAACCTCAACACATGACACAAATATTTTTTTATTTTTTATGTAGCAAAAATTAAAAATACTCAAAGTGAACATCAAATGTCACTATCAGTCCTGAATATCACAGAAATGTTACCTAACTTGGGTATGCTAAACAGGGTTGTCTATAATTCTGAATAATTGCATCAACCCTTTAAGATATTATTGTTTATTATTAATAAACGTAAATTATATACTCATATAATTTTATTGAAAATTATTTATTATTATGTTTCATATTTAACAGTTTTATTAAAAGTCTCATTTTATGTAACGTATAAAAGGAATACTTAATTTCTCATTTATTTTGATGTACCCCAGTCTCACATTGTACCAAAGTTAAAGACCAACAATGTAAGTGATAATATAAAAGGGGAAATTAGAAACTTACTATATAAAAGCAAGGGGAGAGCATGTTACAATCAATGATAAAAGAATGGTTACGAAGTGGGAGAATAGGTTTTGACAAAGACGCTTTCAAAATAGAGCTGTTAAATCTTTGTCCCATGAATAACCCACTAAATAGCTTCGTTCGCGGTAACAAACCTGAACTGATTCTGAACCTCAAGGTAAACATTACACTGCATATAACTAGATTTGTATTGTTTAAATGTTTATGAAGGCATGTATGCTTTACTTTAGCGTTCAGAATACGTTAGGGATCGGCTCTGTGAACATAGCTAATACTAGATACGTAATAGACGAACTGCTACATGAATGAAACCTTTTACGTCTACCCTCATTCATATCAGTGTTAGTACAACTCGACTGAGTCTGGAGAAACAACGAATTTAAAATTTAGAATACCTACAGGTTGGGCAAACTGTGAAGTATGCAGAAAAATTAATTCAAGACGATTGTATAATCATTGTGTAAAACTAAATTTATTAAAATTCGGCAAGCGCTTTCGGCTTTGCAGAGCCATCATCAAAACCTTCGTTTGATAGATACCTCCACAAAAGAAGTGTTTAACTTAAACGTTTATAGAGGTTGAAAGGATTTTACTAGCATTGTTAAAGGGAATGAAGGAATAGAATTAACCATTTTAGACAATAATTTTTTATTTCTCAATTTTTTACATCTAAAACTCTTATTTTTTTAATTGTCTTTTCTTGCCATAACATGCAGTCATCGAATTAAATATTTTTTTTAATTATTCAATAACTGACTATTGTTAAAAAAAAAGTTAATTCCATTCCTATTTAAAGTTTCCTAGTTCTAGTAAAATTGTTTTAATAATCTTTATGTCAATCAATGTTTATTTATGGAGGTATCTACCGGACAAAGGATGTCATAATGGCTTTATAAAGCCGAAAGCGCTGGCTTGATTTTAATAAATTTAATTTTACACATTGATGTACTCGTTTCATACTCTTTGAAAATATTAAGTTTGATCACATGTTTGATAATTATATTATGTCAATAGTAGGTGTAAAGCAATAAAACTATTTTTACTAACAGATAACATTTATTTAAAATGGAATTTTGATAGGTACCTAAACATTAACGTTGGAAACATATCTCTTTAAAATTTAGTTTACTGTACAGAACAAATTGTGGCATTATCTTTTATACTATTAAGTGTTGTCGCTCGTCTTTTCAAACCCTCCAAGTAGACGTCTCTATTGAACAGGCCAGCTGACAATGGAATCCTAGAAAAACATGTATCGTAAGTAACCGTTGTAAAACTTATAAACATTAATATAATAGTGTGTCTGAAATTTGAGTCTCTATATTGGTATTTCGCTTAATATAACCAAACAATGAATTGCAGGGATTTTGCTGATCTTATGCTGTAATTAAGAAAAAAAATCCATCCACAAAAAGACCTGTGGTCCTATTACAGGATAAAATTTAATTTAGCGACGTTTTATAATAATAATTTAAGACTTAATTCAAACTTACATAAACGAATATTCAGTACTTTTAATTACATAGTTTTAAGAAAATTGTTGGAACATATATAAATGTGTGGAATATAACACATTTGTTCTTGGAAATAGTAAATAAAAACATAATTCATTTCTTGAATTAAACCTTGGTATATTGATGTTTAAATAGTTTTTATTTTCCTGTCGAATGAGGCAAGTTGGCATTGTAATTTTGAATCTAAGTAGGTCTTTATTTTCTCAAAATTTTTGACGATTAATTATTTACAACACTTTGTCGTTTATCATCTGAATTAGCATTTATAGCATAGAAATCGTTTGCCTTTGGAGTCTTGCTTCAATTCATCCGCATTGAAATTAATTTCATCAGTTAATTTGGCACAATCTCTATACAAGGGAAAATGAATAAAAAAGATAAAAAGCCTACTTTTTGCCTTTCGATAATGACCCAACGTAATGTTGGTTGACGATGGCCGTATGAAAGATACATAACTGTATTGGGTAAAAGTCAAAAGGTTTTTAACTGCTATTGATCGTTTCACTAGTTTTAGGAAAGAAGAATTGGGTAGGGTACAAAATCTATAAGTTCATGTGTGCTCGGGAAAGCGGGCGTCAATGTATATATGCGTATTTGAGTTTTTAGGGTCTGGAACTTGGAGGGGGGAGAAACAAGATAAAAAAATCAACTGAATTTGTTTATGTATATTAAGTATTAAAAAGGTTGGTTGGGTAGGTAGTGTTACGTGAAATTAATTTCAAATTTATTTTTAACAACTTCACCATAACCCCTCGTAACACAACTTAAACGACCACCGCTCGCTTCCAATTTGAAAAGTATGGTTTGCGCACGGAACCTAGTTTCTTTGGGCATCCATGTCGTCATAAAACCCATTCGTTTGGATTCAACCGGTCTTTTTAGCTTACCGAGTTCAACGTGATAGTTTGTGCCGATAAATTTGAGTAGTTTTTTCATAATTATCTTGTCTTTTTGTGTTTATTGTGTATTAACGTTGGGATGATTGTCAGTGGCTCCAAGAAGCTCTAAGATTCTAGAAGTTCCAATAAGCTCAAAGATCTAAGCGCCAAGAAGTCTCGAGTTACGTAGTTGCTTCTAGAAGCTCGAAGAAACAAGAAGCTCCAAGTAGCTCTAAGATCTAAGAAGTCCCAGTTACGTAGTTGCTCCTAGATGTTACGAGTTACATAGTTTCTCCGAGCTCCAAGTATCTAAGTACCTAAAGGCGGATTGTCCATGACACGGCATACAAAAGGGAAGTACCGTACTAGAATGCCACATGGTCGGGACAATTAATAATTATCTAACAGTAAATTTTATTCATTCATATAAACTTTTTATCTATCAGTCAATTTTAAATCATTTTCTATTCTGATTTAATCACTAACTATTAATTTATTATATTGTTAGATTCGTGCAATATTCAAGACGCCGCCACTGCCTATGCGATACTTGGATATTGGCTACACACACACGCACTCGACATTTTTTGTCGTTATCGTATTATCTTTATGTATAATAATATAATATCTTTCATTTTATCGTAAAGTAGACTTTGGCCCGCGAACCGGTCAAGCTGCTCTGATTTCATTTGTCCTGGTCAATTTATGAATCCACGCAGTATCAGCAATTTGAGCTAAATCACCTCTTAAGTACAATTTACATCGTAAAAATAAAAAAAGGTAATAGTAGATTTTGCAATCTGTGTTTGGAGTTGGAACTAACTGCCTGTGGTGACTACCGCCCCCCCTAATCCCCAATCCCCCTTGAGTGACACCATTGTAAGTTATACTGTCTAAATGATTATATTGTACACAGTTTAACTGGAACTAATTCGCTAGAGCCTCATGAGAAAATATTTGGATAAAAGGCAAAAACAGGTCGATTGAGTTTTTCTTGCGGGCTTTCCAGTCATATTAAAAAAAATGTTTTCGCCCCTTTTAAAGGGTGAAACCTAACCCCACTTATTATTTTTTTTTAATGGATATACACCGGCCGATATAAGAGAAGCACTTCTTGGCGACGTTGTCAACTACATTAAATCTGTAGGCTGGCTCACAAGCTGGGGGGTGCCTATCATCTCAGGAGGATGCACAATGGGCCTAATGAGGCCTAAGTGCCGTGGGGTAACCCACCCTCCACACGTTATAGATACAGATACTACTTGTGGCACCTTGTTGGAGAGCTCTTTCAAAAGGAAAGTTGGTTATGAAATTTTTTTCTCATTTTAATTTTATAGCTAACTTTTAATAAAAACCTATAAAAATCAAAAATAAAAAAATAGATAGACCATAAAATGTATCTATAAGATTTATTTGAGAGCATTATTCTTAAAACTTGTTTAACCTACCTAAAGTTGCAATTCTGATTTTTGTGTGAGGTTGGTCACCTTTACATTTATTAAAGAAAACTGCGTATTCGCTATTAAAATGAGAAAAAATTGCAGTCAACAAGTTGCCACAAGTAGTATCATCACATTTAAAAAAAAAAAAAAATAAGTAAGGTTAGGTTTCACCCCTTAAAAGGGTTTTTTTTATTTCTAATATGACTGGAAAGCCCACAAAAAATCTCAATCGACCTGTTTTTGCGTTTTATCCAAATATTTTATCCTGAGACTCTAGCAAATTAGTCCCATTTAAAATACCTACCATGTATGTTGGAATTCCTTCTGTTTTAGCATGGAATTTATAGTTCAAACAGTGCTACTGGTCGAAGAGAGGCACCACCGAATCACCCTACTGGCCTTTTATTGGCACATGACCTTTATTTAGCAGTTAGTATTAATATGACAAAAAAGTCTTTAATTTCCCATCAATATGGCACTAATTGCCAACATATTTTTATTTCTACAAAGGAAAAACGAAGGCCCATTAACTGGATTTGATGGTTAAGTGACTTCGGCCCAACTGTCGCCGTAGTGACTTTTAATTATAAAAGTCAAATAGTCATCATTACAATTATTGGAGGGCAACAGTTATTGGGCAATTTATTCCTGTACAAAAAATGTTTGTTGGGAAGAGATAAAAGATCAGTTAGATGTGGAAAATATCCTATTTTAAGCTTTTCTGTTTTTTTTTTTTTGATAATAAGTTACTATGTTCCTCTTAACTTCGATGCACAGTGTATTTTATCTAACTCAAACATTTCGAAAACGGCACTAGAAAACGGTAACAAAGACTACACTTCACACAATACTTACGTGTCTAGACCAGGTCTTAAATGGGCCTTAAAGACGCCCCAAACTGGTTTGTGATCGGACGTGGTAATTGATGGAACCGAGTCATATATTAGACATTGCAATGGCGGATTTTCAGATATTCCGCTAAACCGTCGATTGTGTTTCTGCTTGTATAATATTCTATCTGTGTAAGCAGGCGTTCGGTTTTTTGAAGAAGAATCGAATTCTTGCGTCCCTGGATCATACTAAAAATAAAACAAAAATGAATGCGGCAAATGGACGGCGACAGTTGTTACGTCAAAATAAGGTTGGTAACAAGTATTTGTTTTAATACAAAACAAAGTACCATGACAACAATGTTAGATGTCGCTATCATCGGTCATATTGTTATAAACATAATGGTATGGTCCAATATCAACCGACTACTAACCGCAAAGTAACTAGGATTTTTTATAGCGGTTCCTAAAAAAACTAATTTTTTGGTTACATTTGGACCACGGTCGAGATTTACGTCACTTTTGTGACAAATTGACATTCGACTTAATAGTAACCATAAAAATATAACCGATTTTTCAGGAATGTCAAACAGAGCGGTTAGTTTTGGACTGAGTAATAAATGTTTTGGTTAATAACGGACCATACCCTTAGGCGTTTTCTAACATTCAACAAAATGATGTACTGATGGTAGATCAGAAAGGATCATGCTTCAAGATAACGCTCAGGCTCACACTCCTACTCGAAAAATTGAGTATTTAAATGAAAAAAACAATTAATGGGCCATTCGCCATATAGTCCAGACCTAGCACTTAATGACTTTCTTATTTCCATGGGTAAAAGATAAATTACGTAGTTTACGTTTTACATTGGAAAAAGAAGTGGTTGAAACCTTTAAAAATAAAATTAACTACAATCAGAAGATTGGAGACAATATTTTCCATAATGGTTTCCACGGATACAAAAATGCAATTATAAATAAATGTTTTCTGTAAATAAACTGTGTTTTACCAATGGAAAGAGAACAGCCCTCGTATTATTAGTTTCATCTTTATTATCTCATAAAATTTTACTAAAACTGACCACTAAATGTTTTTTGTTAGACTGTACAGCCAACCTAATGATATTTCTTTTGAAAGTGGCTCACTGTCTTAAAAAGGTTACCCCCTGGTCTAGGTAATTCAACTAATGGGACTTATTTTCGAATAACCATATAAGTAGTAATGTGCAATAATCGAACGAACTAAAGGGAAGATCTAGCGACCGAAATCCTATGGTCTCATCAGTTCAGTAGTAAGTATAGAAACTTCTACTTACTTTGTACGTGGGCGGAAAGGTTATCTTGGCTTCGTGGAAGCCACGAAATGCAGCACCATCAGATAAAACTGAACACAGTTGATCGTGATGCATGTAGCCATGAGGTAGATGTGCTGGTAACGGGAAACTAGTTTTTGACAACCATTCTAAAACTTTTGCTCTAGGCGTCGCCAATCTGAAATTCAAATCGCCAAACCAAAAAACGTAGTCAAAATTCTGAGTAATATCTGAAAGAGAAAAAAGACAATTATGTACTAGTTGAATTTTGTGGTGTGGTTCTTTTCAGCTGAAACACTTTCAGCGTATCACCTCTCTTACATAAAAACACATCAGAATGCATAGCATTGTAAACAGATATACAGACTTATTAAAATGAGGTACAAGTTAGCTATTGAAGGAGACTATAACATACTGTAAAAAGATCCCACATATCATGACCGTTTTCGAGTTATTTTATATAAAAATAAGAATTTTTTTGTTTTATTAATGTCTACTTAAAAATCGTATCTGTATATCTATTTTAGTTTGGATTTAAAAAGAATATAATTTGGGAGATATTACATTTCAATTTTCACTTATACATATAAATAAAGTAATATTATGTTAAATCAATCATAGACAAATTTTTTGTTTGTTTTTTTTTTTATTTAAACATATCTACACAATTTAAATACCTAGTAAAAATATTAAATAATTAAAATAAACTACACCATGTAGAGTATTCTGTTATACATACTATTTTATCCATTACCCCTTGCGCATTTTATTCCTTGCCATGTTGAATCTGAAAAAAAAAAGAACATTACTGCTTTGATAATGCAAAAAAATGCAAAAAATCAAATAAAAACCACTCAAACTTAAAGCAGTGATATGTGGTATTGGTAGTGTTCTAGTGTATTAACAGAATTTAAATAAAAAACTAACTTAAAAATATGCAATGTAAATAACCAATAATGAGCAAGACAAAAATAAACGTGAATTAATTATATTTCTCAAACAAAAATAAATAAATAACAATTAGTAAAGTTTCTACAATTTTCGATTAGGTACATGAATATTTTAAAAAAATTATCACAAGTAGTGATTTTTGTAAAATTCGTGAGCAAAAAATTTCACACCAAGAAATATATAGGAAAAATAGAAAATTCAGAGAATGAAATAAAACTGTTGGCTTGAACAATAAAGAGAAAAGATTAAATTAGTATATAAGACTATTTATTATAATCCATAATCGTTTTAAAGTTGCTCAAATGGTTTTCCTCCATTTTCACTTAATTTCACATATTCCTTGAATTGAAAATTACAGTAATTTATTGAGTTGCCATAAGACAAAACAGTCTCCAAACTGGTTAAAATATATAAGTGATGTTCTCATTAAAATATCAATGGCAAGAGGACAAACATATTGTATGCCCATTTTTAATGAAAATGGGTTAGGTAAGATTCTGTGTCCTTTGAGGAAAAATCTTTATGGTTTTTCCTAAATATAGTACGTCAACTTGAAACGGTTTACCAGTTATTAAGGTAATACTAATATAAACTATACAGCTCGGCAAAGTCACCTCCAAATTTCAAATCGACTTTACTCAAATGTAATTTTCCGACATACATTTGTCTTCTACGCCATCGATACATTATCTTAAATTCCCTTTATCTATTGTTTCTAATCCCCTCTAATCTAACGTTCTAATATGCTGCATTAGTATGTTGAGTTGACAATGATAGTAGATTTGCGTTTTGTGTGTGTTTTGACTAGAATTAATTTACATAGTTTTTGAAAGTTTGTGATTTTAAAATGAATATTATTAATAAAGTGGATAAGATCAAGTATATAATCATTTAGTAACCAATTATGTTTTTTTAACAATGCAATTAACATAACTTCTATTTCTTTTTTAGATTTTCCTATCGTTTAATTATAAGAATGTTTAGTTCAATTCAAGTTTAGTTCTTAAAAATTCATAATTTTTTTTTTATTGTTGCAGACATATCACAACTTTCGGCCATTTCTTTAAAAACGGTGTTCTGGTACAATAACGCCATCTTAATGTCATAGTTTTTGGGACACTTTTTGTAACACAAATAGTTCTTGTTACCTCTGCCCTTTTCAGTCAAAATTAAAGACAATAGTTTTTGTTTGGCACACAAATTACGTCACGTCACACTAATGCAGCATATTAATTGTCTTTTTTAATAAATTTATGCTTGAAGTTAAGTAATGTTGTTGATTAATTAATGGAATAAAAAATCATAAAACAAAATGGTTTGTGCAATTACAAAAAACCGCTTCAAATTACTGGAAAAATTAGTAACAATCTAGTGTAGCATTTACCCTATACCATTTTATCATTCTGGAATTCCGTTATTAATATTGCGTAAATAATTCCAGTAATGTGAAACAAATTGATTTGTGTAAAGAAAATAGTGATAAAAACGGGTGCAAAACACAATTGGGTGATCAAACTTGTATCAGGTACTTACTACAGCTATTTAAAAATATTGATCACTATTTTTACACTAATTAGCTTTTACCACTAAATAACTAAAAACATTGCTTTTCTTAATTTGTACAATTATCCAAGTAATAATATTACAATTAAATACGATGTGTTCATTTAATATAGCGATTTATCTGTCATCATTAATCATCAAGGATAAATCAAACTGACAAATAAGTGACGAAACCCAAGGTCAAAAGCACCTTAAGTTTTTTAGATATCCATAGATCCTTAAAATCTCCTTGTTTACACTGTCTTAGAGATAACATACAGTTGATTGATAAGACATTATGATAATTGATAAAAATGGCTACAAACTTACTAACCTTGACTTTTGTTTTTACAAGGAAGCACTTTTGGCAGGTCCATACAATGGACAATTTTTTTCACGTCTGAAACTCTCTCCTTAACTTTCTCTTCATGCGCCGTCAGATGTGCCGTGACAAATAAAAATGAAGTGCCAAAAATCATGAAGGAAGTTGCTACGGCGCCTTTCGTCCGGAAAGCAGAGCCAGGTCTCACTGATAAGCTCGATTCTTCTGGTATAGATACGTACCAAATAAGGTCTCGTCTTATAAATGTTGCTAGATGTAGAGTACCTTAAAAACAAACACATACAGGACTTATTCTTTCCTTCATAGCATAAGTGACAACAGCAACAGTGCTATTCAAGTTCTACACTGTTGCCAATTATATCGCTTTACATAGAATTGCATGCCAGACAGGAAAAAATAAATACTGTATATTTTAAAAACGCAAGAAAAAATCAATTAGTTAAAATTTGGTAGTCATACAGCTTGTTTTAAAATATTAGTAAAGTATCTAAAGAAAGACAATACTAAAAGCCTACTCACAAAAAACATGATTTTGTCATTTGTGTAATTTACTTTCCTTTTTTTATATAATTTTAGATATAATGTAAATACCTAAAGATACAGAATGAAGAAGTAAATGTGATGGTCCAATTGTTTCTTGTAAACTGACTTCCCACTCAAATCTCTCAGAACTAGATTCTTGGGTACCAAAAGACAAAATGTCAGGTACGTGTTCCATGCTGACAGGCAGAACAAAGTCATTTAGTTCTCTAAAAGACATTAACAAAAGTTTATTGCAAGTAATAATCTAATGGCAAATGGCCCTCTATAGGTGCCACTTAAAAAAGTAAGAATTTAGTAAAAAATCATGTTCTGGAAATTAATTTTTTAACTGGAGGATTTATTTTTAACTCAATCGGTAAAATAGCTTTTGCTTCAAGTTATTCGAGGCTAATAGAGCATCATTTTCTAGTTTATGCGCCTTCTACCCAAAAAATCAATTTGGTAAAATGAAAATTTGGCAAGGCTGTCTGTCATATGTAATTTGAACAGTAGATTCCAAAAACATGAAATATACAGAGTGATCTATTTAAAAAATCAACTAAATGGAATTTCCTGTAAAAGCGGAAGTCAGCCATTTTGTACAACAACTGTCAATTCAAAATTATGTCTAGTAGGTTTGTTTCAAATTTGATCCAAATCGCTTCATAAATAAAAGATATATTAACCTGACCCTGGTCTCATTGTCATCTGGTATATTATAGAATAGAATATTTTATTTTCAGTAATATATAGTAATCAGTATTTAAACCTTTTATAGTTACATCGATATAGAATACTGGTAAAATACGCCACATTTTACATACATACAACATATAAAAATAAATAGGAGTTTGGTAATGGAAATAAAATTAAAAAATACCAGAAATATTAAAAATAATAGGTTACATGTTTCACTCTTACAAAATAATTGTTAATATTATATAGACACATGTCCATATTAATATATTTTTAATTTGTTGTTTAAAATGTTTCCTGGTAGGTTACAGATGTGTCATGAAGTGCATTATAGAAAGAAATACTTATTGTTCAGGAGTTGTTTATTCTTGTTCGAGTTTGGATTAGCTGATTTTTCCTTCTGGTATGGTACCTATTGTCTGAGTACCATGTGAAATTTCTCAATTATTTTGTACAGCTAGCAGGTTTTCAAATACTATTTGTGAAAACAGAGTCATTATGCTAAGTTGTTTAAATACTGATTCACATGGTTCATTATAGTTTACCCTCAGAATAGTGGGAACTGCTGATTTTTGTTAAGATCAAAAATTATATACTGTGAAGTAATTGTAACATTTCCACAAGAATTCAATATATTAGTAGCTTATTATTTTGTAATTAAATCTTACTTAGGTGGAGAATGTCCATTCATATTCCATGTACCTACAAATATAGTAATTTCCCTATTTGGACACATTCTGTCAAGTTCATTTGGACCAAGTAGTGAATTTGCACCAATTCTACCCTGTAAAAAATTTCTTTGTCTAGCTTTACTTATCGGAATAAGATAATGGGTGTTCAGTCCTAAAATTAAATAAAAAAAAACACTTTTCCTCTCAGATGTTAAATTATTGTACTGTACATTATTACCTTTGGATTCTAATAAATGTTCATGTGAAATTGATTTTTCTTTTATTTGATCATCTTGAGAATTGTCTGAGTATTCAGCAGCACATATGTTACTATCAGATAAACTGTTGTGCCTGTCCAAATTCTGGAAATTAAAAATAACTACTAAGTAATTATACCTTATTAAAATACTGTATTTTATATTCTTCTGGGAATATTTTATTTATATTACAGGAGAAATAATTAGATAGACATTTTGGTATCAAATGTATGAAATTAGTGTTTTTTTTAAATAGAATATGGGGGAAATCAAGAACAGAGGTTACAAATCTACACCTGTGGCAGTTATTCATTATAGAACAAAATTAAAATGCATATTTTTAATCTAGAATTCCATAATGACAAAACATTTAATATTTCTTATATTTTAGCTATGAAAACTGAACTTCTTGCCAGCAACTGTTTGCAATGTAATCCTGCAATAAATGAACTACTTATTGTTTTAATTGAATAAATACTTATTTTTGTGCACACATTTTTCATGTAAAATGTACGAGAAGACAAGAATTTAAATCAAACATATTCTTACTTACAGTTATTCCTAAAGTATTGTTCCCTGGCATTTTATTTCTTTTTCTATCAAAACTTAATGGTCTTCTTGATATTGCTAAATCATTTGTTACTTCTGAAATAATGATGTGGTCCATATGTGGTTCTTTTGCACTCTGACTTCTCGTTATAGATATTCCTACTTTATTTGAGGGCTTGCGTGGAAGAACGAAACTGGCGAATCCAGCCTTTTTAGTCAATTTGTTTTTAGAATTCATAGCAACGAGTTAACACGCTTTCTATTGATTTTCTAATTATAGAGTAGTCTTTTATACCTTATATATTTTCGCATATTTTAGATTTATTGTTATTACTGCAGAGTTTTCAAGCCGTAGAATATGCTGGCAACTCATGCAGGTTGTTTAATTTGATAATAAAATCATCTTGTTCTGTTTGTAGAGGTGAAATGTTTGTATTTGTAATGTTCTTTGATTGTCACTGTCAGTGTCAAATACTTCAAATTGCGCACGTGCGAATGACAGTAGCTGTTTCTCGCGATTCTCAAAGTTTATGACAATGGAAAACCTTTATTCGGTCTAGTTAGTTTAAATTTAAAATGAATGCACAAAATATCAAATCACTATTTTTCTATTATCAAATCTCCTTGTTGGAAGAAACAGTGTCCTCAGTATCCTCTAGTACTTTTTTCGGGAAATGCTTACTTCCTATCAGGCGCGGATACAAAGGGCGGCAATAAGGTAATTACCCAGTCTCTATAGCCGCTCGAATAAATCCAGAATTTTATTAAATTATTACCTCAAGATTTTACGAGAAAGCAATAAAACAAGATGATAGCGACGAATAAAATTATTTACCCCCTCACCGAAAAACCTTCCCAGATCCGCGCCTGCTTTCTATACCTATATATATATATTTGCTAAATTTATTAACTTGTTATACCTGTATCTATTATTTAGAAGGAAAATTTTTTGTACAGACTTTTATAACTTATCCAGATTCGTAAATACTGTTTTTTTTACTATAACATGAAAAATCATTCCTCTAATGAGAATATTTCTCACCCCAGGTAAATAGTGATAATAAAAGAATACCTAGGTAAATATTGAAATTGAATTCCATTAGTTTTATTTTGTTAATTTGACAACTAAACTCCTAGGCTACTTGATATTTTAAAATATTTTAAAAATAAGTAGGAAATAACTATAGCTGATTTAATGAAGTCAAATATGGTAATACTGATTCAAAATGTTTGTATGTATAATTATTTTATAATAAAAACTAATTATTATATATCTGTAATATTATTTCCAATAACCTTCTTTTATTTAGTTCTAGGAACATCTAACGTCATAAGGTTCTTTCGTTCGTCCCACTGGTGTAGTTGGGTGTAGTAATGAACTACACCAACCCACACCCATACCTTTCGTTTGGTCCGGTGTAAAACCCACTATACCTTCCTGTCGGCGATGTGGTGTACACTGGTGGATATTTTCTCCACCAGCTATTTAGCAGGAGTGAATTACACTCGACGATGTGTATAAGGAATAAGGAGGAAGTAAATTAATTAGGGTAAATAAGGTGGTGTAACTGGTGTAATTTACACTGGTGGACACTACACCAATAGCGAACGAAAGAACCCATAGTAACGTTACAAATTGACGTCATAATAACGTAACAAAATGACGTACGAGTAACCTCACAAAATAACGTAAGAGTATCGTCACAAAAATAACTTCCATCACTGGGCCGTGACATAGATGTGAGCTGGACGTCAATTTGACGTGTGATCGTCACCTCGTTGCATTGTGAAAAATGACCTATATAACGGATGACCAATAAACAAATTACGTCGCTGTAACGTCAGTGTGCTACCTGCGATTCGGAAACACTCCGTATATAATTGTTACATTTTGAGACATCTAATTTTGAGTCCTATATGTGCACCAATTATTTTATTATTAGAAAATTTTCTAAGAAATTATTACAAAACACTTTTCCATTTGGCGGTATTCTACAGGAGGTGAAATTTACCTAATGGCAAAAAATTATTATACAAATTTTTACCTGGACAAAAAATGGCGGCATGGAAATCTCTTTTATCATCCAAGAGAGTTCGATGTCCGATCGGTGCTGCCGCGTATAGGCGATGCACGCAACTTGGTTGTGGTCGCCCTGTTTATATGTATAAAGACAGAAAAAATAAACATGTCGGTGTCGTAGTATGGCGTCGGGTAGCGAGAGTGCTAAAAAACTGGGTGGTCCATCGCCCGTCGGCGATGAATCATCGGAAAGTGATGGGGAAACGGAACCGGCTAAGTCCTTTCATAGACGATTGTCAACAAATCGCGAAATTAACAATTCGGTATGTGTGACCAAAGTTTCGATCAAAAACCTCTGTATTCCTGTGTGTGTGCAAGTAACATGATGGCATGCGTGTATTGTTTATTTAATCTCTATGAAAAGTAGGCGTGGTGCACTTTAATTCGTTGGTGACAAAAAGCTTCGATATGATTTAATAAATCAGTCGCTTCTTGGCACGATTCCCATTTGCTTTCTCTATTGACCTAATTGCTGCATTTTGGTTTATTTTTACTTGTAGTTTTGTAACATATTTACTGATTGTTATGTTTTTGAATAAATGGTTTTTCTTTTTGACTCGCTCATGATTGTTTCATTATTTCGCTGTAATAATCGCCTTGAACTTAACCTAACCTGGATATATTCCTGTTGCTTGCACGTTTCTAATCTGAAAGATCGAATGGTGAGAGTAACAGGTGTGCCTGGAACCATGTGCCAGGCGTGAAGCGTAAACAGGTCGCCCGCCGCGCCGTATTGAGACGCGCCAGTATTGTTCTCTTCGACGATCGATAGGCATAATCTAGAGACAGTAGTCATAATTTTGACCAATTGCAATAATTATACCTAATCCCTGGGTAATTACAATTGGAATGTATTTTTTCAAAAAAGAAATTAATTACAAGTACAATGTACTTGTAAAAATCGGAATTATATTGATTTAATTAACAATTAGGTACATGAAAATATGAATTACTTTTTATAATTACTTTTTTAATTACTTTGCGTATAAAACAACAAATTATGATAAGAACCATGAACCAACCAGAAATAGGTAATTCAAAGTGTTCAACTAACAGCCGTTCGCAGCGACTTTCTTAAGGATTCCTTAAAGTTAAAGATATCTTAAGGGAGGGTTGTATGAAGTTTATTTAAAGTTAAACTCGGTTTGAGGTGACACATGAAAAATTTTGTGTCATAGGTACAGTCTAAACACCATTTAGCACTTTATTTTCCAAACATTAGACTGCATCTATAGCAACAGAAATTGACATGTATCACTTAAAACTGAGTTTAACTTTAGGTAAGGTTTATACAACCAGCCCTAAGCTTATTGTTTTCATCCATACCATTTAGGTATAAGGTCTCCTTAACTTAAGAAAAAGACAAAACCCATAACAAGTAGTATAAAAAATGGCACAGGGAAGGTAATAATAAAATATGAGCAGTTAAAAGTTTATTAATTCGAAACAAAAATACAAAAGTTCGTGTATCTAGGCATAGGTACTTTTATGTTATAATTATACTATGCAAATCGGGCATCATTAGACTGGGGCGGTTTAATTAACCCCATAAAATTACTGCATACTATGCATCACTTCATACTATATATTTCCTTAGTTTAAAATCTACATCTGCTTACCTCTTACTGTTATTATTTTGGGTTTAAAAATTTCACTACTTAACTGAGGCTCTTTCCACGGTACAGCGCTTTCGTCAAATTCATTCAAACAAATGAGATAAACGAGTTGGAGCTTTAGTGACCGGTTCATACAGAAAAACCACGTGCATCTCGTAAACACGCATTTAAAAGTAATTGAAAAAAAAAAATATAATTGTACTTATAAATGTAATTCTAAATGGAAAAGTAAATTGTATTTAGACAATTTAAATTATATAACTACAAAGTACAATTCCTCCACAGATTTTACTGCAATTACAATTCCAAATTACTTTAAGAAAAAAGTTCTTAAATACAATTACAAATTACATAAAAAAATGTGTCTGTGTTTGAGGCGTACCGTTCTTGGCAGAGAAGTAATTTCTTGAAGAAAATTGACTTTATTTTTATCCTTAAGCTATTGAATAAGTGCACTTGCAGGTTTCTGTAATTATAACGCCAATTCGTTGTTTTGAAGTTTTAAATAAATATTGTAAACTACTGTACGAGTCCCCTGTGGCTAAAAAGCGCAGTGTAATAGCCAGACGGTCTTTAACAGGAGTTGCCATTCGAAATGGTGTCTTTCTTGGCTATTCCAGAACCTACTATATACATATTACATACATTTTTCTTTTTTTTCTATTTTTTTAACTATAATTAAAAAAACACCAGTGGATGCTATCATATCATCTGCATCCATGTCGACGAACACACCAACAACACTGATTACTAGTGGGAACGCAGCGAATACCACCAGGGCCGCCGAGAGCCAGGTCGGACCCCGGGACAATTTTCCAGGTCGGGCCCTGGGACAATTTTCCAGGTCGGGCCCCGGGACAATTTTCCAGGTCGGGCCCCATGACAATTTTATATAAAAAAAGTCTTGAAATCTCAAAAAAAACAGGTACTCTCTCTTGTGGCAAACTTCTAAAAAAAAAAGCACCTAAGGACATTTTAAGCTTTAAAAAGTAACAAGGACATTTTGCTTCAAAAAAGGACAGGTGGCAACCCTATGTTAATATTATCCTCATCAAGTTCTTTAAACGACGTTTTTTTTTTCATGTCAAATATCTTAATTTACGTATTACATGGTTATCAGTTATATAATTCATAACAAGTAAAAGATTACAAAGCAAGAAAGGCACGAAAAAACTCGCAGGGGACGGGTGTGAATGTGCATAGATAAATAAATAAAAAGAGATGGTGTGATATACTTAATGTGCAATAACGGTAAGTGCATTGTATGCTCCCCTCTAGCTACGGCCCTGCACCAACTATTCGCGCTCTAACTCAAGAACGGTCGAATGTATAAAATATTGTTTAAAAAAACAGTACTTAGTAGATAATTATCGGCTCTTACAACTTTTCGAATAAATCCAAATGTCATTTAAAGCATATAAAGATATTTATGAAAAACGATTTTTGCGACCTTTGACCTTAAATATCTTGTCTATAAGACTTTTGAGCCAAGTTATAAAATAACAAAACAAATATTTATACAAGTTCATAGCTTTCACCAAGGTAAACCCTGTTTTGAACCTTGTTTGACTGTATTATATCGGATCATTACTAACATTAGTTATTGACATATTTAACAAGCGTTAGTGCAACCGGGTTTTCGTAGGTATATTGTTTCGTTAATTTTATTTAGAGGTGTAGGTATTTAGAGACACCTACAATCTTTAGCGAACCAACTTGTCTATAACTGTGATTAGTGTGGGATGTAGCACGTTCCGGAAGCTCTACG